AGAGTAGAACCTCACTCTACAGAGTTTTCAAGGCTGTGCCCTTTTGGAAGCAGATTGTCAGGCCTTACTTTCAATGTGCCTCTGGGTGGGTTTGAACCATCAACTTTTCAATTAGTAGTCCAGGTGCTTCACTATTTGTGCCACCCATACTGTTTATACTGAAGTTTTTTAAAAGTAAATCACCGCACAGTATAATCACACACACACAGAAAAAGCTAAATGGAGAAGAAAGGGCCTGAATCTAGTCAAAGTCTTTTGACCAGGTCTCCTTAGGCATCAACAAATTGACAATGAGAAGGAGTGAACCAAAACCCTTCATACATTCTCTAGGTACTGAAACCAGAATCTGATCAAAAATTTGTCTGCATTACTCTTGCAATCCAAAGGAGCTCTGGTGGCGTAGTGGATAAGGCATTTAGCTGCTAACCAGAAGGTCAGTGGTTCAAATCTACCAGCTGCTCTGCAGAAGGAAGATGGGGCAATCTACTTCTGCAAAGATTTACAGCCTTAGAAACCCAATGGGGGTCGCTATGAGTTGGAATCAACACTATAGCACTGAGTTTGGTTTTAGTTTTTTGGGACTATTGGAATCTCAGGACTGCAATTTTTCTAAGTCCCACCAGAGAGCAATCTTTCTGCATTTATGCTCCTACTTGCCAAAGCCCTCTGTATCTCCTCATTCATCCCCAGCTCCTACCAGGTCTGGGCAGAACCAACTGTTAAAGCTTTTGTGACCCAATGAAATTACCCAGATTCCGCAAAAATTTCCCCACTTTCAAATCCTATCAATAGATAATTTTGAAATGTCAGCAAGATGACTTGCCTCGGAGATAGGTTCAGAGACCTGGGTGGGAGCATTCTTTGACCTGGAGCCATAAACCTGACACCAGAGATGCTGAGGTGGGCCTGTGCTTCCTTCCCCACCCTCACCCGTACAGCGCCCCAGGCAGGTTCTAGGAAGAGAGAACTTTCACCGAGTGAAAAACCGCAGGAACTGGCCTTGGCTCCATGGCCCTGTCCTTTCACTGCCTTGGGAGAGTGAAGTGTAGACTTCTTATTAGGGTGATTCAGGGATGTGACTAAGCACCACCTTCCACACCAGACTAAGACACAGAGCCTAGGGATTTCCCAGACAGTTACATTAGGGTACAGAACCCCCCTTGGGATCAGTGGGCTGTGCGAATTGGCACATCAGATTAACAAAATATACCCACACCCACACACACCACATTTAAATGCCTTACACATACTGGCAATGTCTAGACCAGTGCTGCAGGGACTGGTAACAGGTACATTATCAAGGAGTTGGAAATAAGTGTTTTTCCTTTATAATCACTAAGGGAGCCAGTTAACGCCCCACTTTGCTCTGAAGTTAGTTGCTGCCCTCTTTCTAAGCCCCAGTAGTGACTTCCCTGTACACCCCCCATCCTTGTTGGATCAAGTTCTGTTTGCTTGTCTGCAGCCTCACTCGACTTCAACTGTATGTGGGTTACCATCTCATGCCAAAGACCTGTCACAGGATCCATGATCAGCACTGGGCACCGAAAAATGGTACGTTGCTATAGATGTGCCCTCTTCTTTGGCTGGGTCTTTGCATAGCCTTGATCCTCACCTCTCAGTCTAACTAAACCAAAAAAAAAAAAAAAAACGAAACTCACTGCCATTGAGTCAATTCTGACTTACAGTGACACCACAGGTTTTCTAAGGCTGTAATCTTCACAGAAGCAGATTGCCTTTTCTTTCTCCCACAGAGTGGCTGGTGGGTTCAAACCACCAACCTTTTGGTTAGCAGTCAAATGCCTTAACTACTACATGACCAGAGTTTCTTCCCATTTTAACTAAATGGGGTCAAATTCTGGGACTGATGTCTCCCAGGCCCATCCTAGAAATACAGGCAAGCCATTCCGAATAATTTGAGTTGTTTTGTTTTTTGTTTTATTTTTGTGCAAAACTGATCCATGAATACCTTTGAGTGCTAGAAACCTTCTTCAAAAATCATTCATTTTTTTAATCACTAAATAAATTGAGTTTTGTCAGGCACTGTTGGGCAAATCAATACGTGTGCAAAACAGAGATTAAAAGAACGAGTTGCCGCTGAGTTGATTCAAGCCGTGACCACTCCATGTGTGTCAGAGAGCTGTGCTCCACTGGGCTTTCAAGGAGGTGCCCTTTTGGGAGCAAGTTGTCTGGCCTTTCCTCTGACCCATCTCTGGGTGGATTGGAATCACCAATCTTAGCAGCCCAGTGCTTAACCGTTGATGCTACCCAAGGACTTCTAAAATAATCCTTCCATACATATACTTACACACATTATTTGTATATACGTATGATATAGCTGAAGGACTCTAGGAGAAGAAAAACCCACCAAACAAACACATCACTCTAGGTCATATGCAAAAATCTTTTATTATTGAGGAGTAGGGGGGCATTATGTCTTTAATGTAGACACTACAGAAACTTGGGGGAATCTATAGTCCATGCCTGTTGTGATTAGGGATGTTCACTACGCAGTTTCTACACCAGTGTTAGGTAGAAGGAATGGGAAAAGAGTCGAAGCATGAGAATGTTACAATGATGGGGGAGAACGGAAATGGAAGAGAGGACGCTGTGGATCAGGAGAAGGGCACCAGGGTGTCTTCATTATGCAGCCCAGGAATCCAGAAGCAAAGTGCTAAGGACCGAAAAACGAAGCTACATGTTATGGTCTGTAAAAACTGAGGGGACAGGGGACATCTGTAAGGGAGACAGAGGGAGAAAGGAAGCCTTAACCCTCAGCATTCCCTGTGGTTGTCAGATGCCATCAAGTCGATTTGGATTCATAGTGACCCCAAATGACAGAGGACAATGATCCCGTAATATTTCCTCGACTGAAATCTCTGTGGAGCCAGATCATTAGATCTTTCTCCCACAGCCCACTTGGTGGGTTTGAACCACCAACCTTTCAGTTAGCAGCTGAGGGCTTAACCATCATGCCCCTAGGCCTTTTTCAGCTCTCCTTAGAGCCTTTGAAACAGAGGAGTGAACTCTCTGGACAGCAGGAGCTTGAACCTTTCCAGCTGCTGGATTAATTGTGCCACTCATAAACACTTGTGTATGCATTGTCTGTGATGGGGCCCCATCTTCTTCATGTAACAAAGTTCCTATCATTCTAGCAACCTCCTGAAGCAGGTATACACACAGCCCTGCCCACTGTGCTCAGGTGCCAATACCCCCAGACTTCCCCACTCCCTCCTCTTCTTTCCAGAAACCTTCCAGAGGAAGGACAGGTCTGAGATCACTTCCTTTTTTCAGCAGCTTCCCATGAATGAAACAAGATGACTACTTCCCCCCGGAGTGCCCACATGGAAACACAATGATCTGTGTTGATCCATCTCCTCTATAATCTTAAAGTGTCAACCCCCAGAGACCTTATGTCCGCTCTGCCTGGCACCTAACAGGTTGCAAATGTGCCATTGGTGGTGATGGCGAAATGATGAAGGCTGCAATTATGAATCTGATCCCTCTGAAAGAGCCTGGATTCACCAGAAAGCATTAAAAGTAGGTTTCTACAATGTACTTGTTTCTGCCGTTTGTATGAAATACTATGGCAAAATTGCACTGTAATTATCTTTATGGACTGTGCATAACGCTGGGGGAGAGTATGTCATCCAGATATAGTTGCCCGTATAATTATCTGGCCGTCAGCAGGACTGAAATAACCCTCTAATGAGAGCAAAATGATACGGTAAGTACCATGTAATCAGCGAGTTACGGTTATTATGGCTCTTTGTGCCCTCTCACCCAGCACTGAATAGGGGACCAGACCCATCCTGTGGTCCCAGGGACTCATCACAGGCAGTATCATCAAGACTCAGCTCCTTGGGCCTTGGGCTGGCCACATTGCGACCAATGCATGTGGGTAGCAGGGACACAGGGAGAGGAACACGGCTCTCTCTATGATAATTGAGGCTTCCCAGTCCCTCTCCTTTCCGCTCCCCACATCTTTCTTTGGAAGCTCGTGAAAAGAAAGCCACCAGTTGAGCTGCTATTACTGTGTGTGGGAAGATGGTGTCGAGGCGGAAGGCTCCATGTTTTGACTAGACGCTTCCCTGGGGGACTCTCACACTCAAATACCAAGTGAGAGATCTGTCTGCCCACTCAGGCCCGGGGTCCAGCCCAGACAGCTCTAGCTAGGAAGGCAGACCAAAGCCAGTCAGGGGAAACACTAGGACATCCCCCATGCCTCCCAGACAAGAACAATCATGAGAAAGCATTATGTGCCAGGCACATAACTGTTTTTGAGCACTTTACCTATAACCAGTCTTCAAAACCACAACCGTGTGAGATGCTACTTACTATTACCCTCATCTTTCAGAGGAGGAAACTGAAGCACAGAGGGGTTATGCAACTTGGCCAAGGTCACACAGCTCATGAATGGCAGATGGAGGATTCAAACTCAAGCCATGCTCTTATCCATTATACTACACAGAGGGACTAAGATATGGTTTGCAGATACTCCCCATTAGATCTCGGAGTTCCTTCTATTTCTTCCTAATCACCCCTGTGTGGGACTACACGGTGGCACTGGACCACATAGCCCAGGATTCTGAATGATTTGAAAGGTTCAGCCTGCCTGGGAGCAAAATGCTTGCTTGTGAGTTATAACTATCAGATGATGATCACTCAGGTTATAAGAGAACTGAGTCCAAACAACTCAAGTTGCCCATCAGAGAAACCCCAGAGGAAGCCTCTCTCTCCCGTTTCTCCCCACTCACTCCTGCCTAGTCGTCAGCCAGGGCCCATGACACAGGGGAAAAAGACAAAAATGAGGTTGTGTGTGTGCATGCACGCATCTCTAAGTGTCTGTGTATTGGACCAAAGGTGTGCTAGGCACTGGCATTGTATTTCAGGGCAAGTTTAGAGCATTAATGGCGCACGGCATCAAGGGAAATGCCCAACAGGCAGGCTCCCCCTGTCTCACATGCAGTCACCTCTCAGTTCCCCATCCAACCCTCCTTACCTCACTCTGCATCAGGGGCAAACTTGAGGTTGTCAAAGCCAGGGACGTTCTCTTGGTTCACATCAGTAGGAGTGTCTGGGGTGAGGGAAAGAGGTCAGGAGGGATTTTTCTGAATGTGACCTTCACCCTGACCTAACAGTGAGGGACTGGCTATGAGGGGCAGCATAAGACAGAGGTGGGAAGAAGAGGAATGCTCAGTTGGAGAGGAGGAGGAAGTAAAGTCTCCCTGCCCCTCGTACCCCAGCTGCAACACAGCTGTCTCATAAGGGTCTCCCTACTCTGCTCCCAGGAGGATGCTGGACTGTGGGTCCAAGATGATTGGGTAGAGGAGACCCAGGAACAGAACCTTCACTGTAGCTAAGAAAAGGTCTGTCTTTCCCTCTGGTGATAAATATGAGGTACCTGGTGTCTGCTCTGTCCTGTCCAGAACCCCAAACCCTCCCACTGTACCTCGACGCACCTCTACCTAGCTGGATGTTCCTCTTCCCCATCAGTCCCACAAAGAAGTCTTGCATGTTACCTGCAGAGAAGGGTTGGCATCGTCAACAGTGATGCATATCCACAGACCTGTGTCAGGACTTTGGAGACTGGATTTCTGGTCTCTGTTTCTTTATCTTGCGACATTCATGGGCATGTTTCCTGAGCCCATCCTCTCTGGCCATCTCATCTCTCCCTCTTCTGTATTTCAAGAATTCTCTGCCCTAGCAAGTCCTTGGCTTGGAATCTTGACAGAAATTGTCTGCCATGACCCCCTTGGTTCCCAATAACCAGCCAATGGAGGGAGGGTCTCCATGCCCCAGGACACCTGCTTCCTCCTAGTTCCTAGTTCCCTCTCAATTTGGGAAGGGCTGGCTGAGCAGGTACAGCTGGCACATTGTGCCAAAGAAGACAGGCACTGGGCCCATGGTCTTGGAGGGAGCTCTGGGCCAGTAGTCAGCAGAGATAAGGAGTGAGAAAGGGCTACTCACGTTTCTTGGGAAGTGACGATTGCTTGGGACCTGGGAAACCAAGAACAAGTGTATAAATTGGGGGTTTGAATCTGGAAAGTGATCGTTAGAGGGTGTTCAGATCACAACCCTCAACTAGTCGCTAAGCTACCTCCAGTTACCCTCTGCCTGAAAGGGTTTCCCACACGGATTTCATCCTCCAGATCCTGCCCTTCACAAACTCTCTCCTCAGGGTTGCTTCTTACCCACGCTGGCCTTGCCCAGTGCTTTGAGCAACGACTCCAGAGAGACTGTGTGGCTGTCTAAGAGTGTCCGGAGCAATGACGGTGGCAGCTGGTAGATATACAGGTCCTGGGGGAGAGAAGCAAAGAGGGCTGAGGCAGAGACTCACATTCCACTGCACAAGAAACAGTCTTGCCCTGGGTTCATCCCAGCTGAATCCAATGTCCTCTGGATTTTAGAATTTCCTCTGGTTTACACTGGGAGAGAAGTGGGCTTTCAAAGTCTGGTCTCTGCACCAGTAGCTGCATCACTGGGAGCTTATAAGAGTTGCATGATCTCAGCAGTGCTTCTCTCTCCAAGCCCACCATAGACCTCCAAAAACCAGACTCACTGCCATTGAGTCAATTCCGACTCATAGCAACCCCCACTGGGTTTCCAAGGCTGTAAATCTTTACAGAAGCAAACTGCCTCTTCTTTCTTCCACAATGCAGCAGGTATGTTCAAACCACCAACCTTTTCATTAGCAATCAAGTGCCTTAACCACTGCACCACCAGAGCTCCTTCACTATAGACCTACTGAGACAGAATCTGAATTTTTAACAAAATGCCCAGGTGGTTCACATGAAGATTTGAAAAGCACTGGTGGATATGGACACAGCACCCTAGCGTCCTACACATCTCTGCCCCAGGCCAGAATGTGTGTGTCAAGGGACAAAGAGGAGGATGTCTGACCTGACACCCATATCAGCAGGTGTGGCACCCTCCCCAGACTCTGATCCAGGGTATGGTGGGTGGGTGTGGGAGTCTTTCAGTTTAGATGCAGCTCCATCAGAGCTGGTGGGAGAGCTTCTCCCTGGGAGGCTGCCTGATTATCCTCTTTGCTCAGGACTGAGAGGCTTCCTGGGATTGTAAGATTTTCATTTTAAAGCCCAGCCAGTCCCAGGCAAACCAAGATGGTTGGTCACTCCATCTCCAGAACTCCAAGGAGGACTTCCCCTGGGGCCCTCTCCTGGCTCCTGCCTCTTCTCAAACACCGGGTGGGGAGGACACCAAGTTCTTTTTCTCCCTGGCACATGAGGAACCAGTTCGCTCAAGGATGTGGCTACCCCACTAGTTGAATGAGCCTTGAGTTCCCCCACTCCCAAGAAAGGCCCATCACACCAAGTGTGTGTCCCCTGTTCTGTACTCCATGACTGAGTCAAAGACGGGCTTGAGTCCTGGGGAAGGGTTGAGTGGACAGCCAGGGCACACCTGCAACCCTGAATGTCCTCCACTCTTCACTAAAGTCCATGGATGCTTCCCCTCCCTGTTGTCTTTCACTCGCTCTCTCTTCCTTTCATGGGTCTTTGCCTCTGGTTCCCTCTCTCCCCATTTCTGCCCTGGATCTAGAATTTTAGGTAGGGGGCATGCTCAGAATGGCATCTCCTCTTCTCTCCCACCACTACAACTAAACCCCCGTTCCTGGATTTGTCACCAAGCAAGGGCTCTTAATTGTCCTCGTGATTTTTTTTTTTTTTTTAGCAACTTAGGCCACAGCAGGATGGTGAGCACACACCATATGCCTAGTTACTTGCAGCTGCAGAGAGGCAACACAAATGATCATGTTGGGAGATTTTCACCTTGAAGCTCAGAGGTCTCCAAGCCCTGTCTCTCCAAGCCCAGGTGTCTTTGAGCTGTTGTGCATACACAGAAGCACAGTTATACAAGACATACCCATATCCACACCAGTCAGTTGGATAGGCACACATATCTACATATCCTACCTGCTTCACAACCCAGTCTCTTTTATTTCTCCAAGACTCATGGGAAAGAGGGGTAGGAAGGCAAGAGCCCTGCCTCATTACCAAGAGGAGCAGAGAAGACATCACCTTGTCCAAGGACTTGAAGCAAGTCTGTCTCAGAAGAACCCAGATATTCTGACTATTCCAGGTTAGCACAATGCAGCTCATATTTGGCACTGCCTGGTGCTTTTTGAACTGGTTGTGGTCTTTTGGATGGAGGCAAATGACAGGCTGCCAGCCTATTGTGCCCTGGACACTTCTCCAGTTGAATGAAAGCTGGTAAATCACTCTCTTTGTCCAGCGCAGGGCTCCTAAACAGCCGTTTTCCCCAAATTGTTCAAACACTCTGCCACCTCCTATAATGAGATGCTATACAGATCTGAGCTACAGAAGCCGTTAAACTCCACACACTGAATTTGTAATAAGTCCTACCTATAATCATCTTAAAAGCCTTTGTACCAATGTAATTGCTATCATTTCAAAATCTTGAAAAGACTTCCTCCTTGTTCTCTCTATACCCCTACCCTGACAATCCCTGCCCTTTTCTTAGAAAAACTTTAGAAATTGGCGCCCAACCTGCTTTCCCTCGCCCCACTGCTCCCCACCGTTTCCTAACTAAGCAGTGACTAAAGGTGGGCAAGAGAAGGAGAGAAGAAAAGAAGGGGTTGGGATCTTAGGAACATCTAAGGTTACTGGGGGCAGGTGAACAAAGGATATGGGAATTTATTTGCAGTTTGAAAATAAAATAATCTGTACAACTGATAGGTAAAATAGCATATAAATAACCATTTGGGAGAGAAAGCCCAACTGTGTTTCTTACCATTCAAGGCTGTACCACTTTGCAAAGGGACAGAGCAAAGCTGGACCACAAAGAAACTTGGACCACCCTTGTTCACTCATGGCAGCACCACCCAAACACCAATTAAGCACTCAGTGAACCAAACAAACACGTTTGTAGAACACCTATTACATACAAGGCATCAAAGACACACAGAGCCATTTGCAGATGTACAGTGAGAACATGAGATAATCAAGGAGGCAGAGAAATCCAAAGGAAGGCAAAATGCCCTTTGATGGACAACCCCTCCCCATCCCATCCTGTCCCATCAGCTGTCCCCAGGTTCTCATAATGTCTCCCAGTTCTTGGTCAGGGTGGTGACAGCTAGAGGGTGCCTTACCTTGCTGTGGCCCCCGCTGGGCACCACCTGCTCCAGTGTCTCTTCATAGACAGCCTCAGAGCTCTGAATCAGGCTGAGGGCCAGGCTGGCTGCAAACAGCAGGGAGAGCCGCATGGTGCCAGGCAGGGCAAAGGGCCAGACTGGGAAAGGGAAAGAAAGGAGAATGCAAGCAGGGTCCTCAGCCCAGGTGCAAACATAGCAGACGTGCGTGACCAGAAGCCTGGCTTGACCCTGCTCCTCCAGCCCCTGACTCTCCCACACAAGCCCTTGACATGGGGAGTCACAGGCGGTGAAGAGTATCTCTGAGTAGGGAGTACATCCCTTGGGCTCAGTTTCCCTTTTCCCCATCAGGCATCTCCCCAGGACATGTACTTAGCAATGAGCAATGGTACAATGGTGTCAGGGGACTCTAGGCACTCAGGAAGAGGACAGACTTACAGGACATGCACATTAGGACAGGCATTATTTCCTTAGTTGACTTGAGGAGAGACCCGGGATGTTATTTTTCAGCACTAGTTAACCCCAAGACTTAAGCAAAAACTTTCTAGCATAGAAGAATCAGTCTGCACCCACAGGCTCCAAACATTAACCACTGGCACAGTCTGCTCACCATCCCACTACCCAGTTGCCTGCCAGAGACTGTCAACCTCCTTCGCTTCTTCCAGACTCTGGCCCCACTCCCTAGGCACCAGCTCGCAATCCATCCAACATTCTCCCACTTCCTCTCCCTCACTCAATCATGCCTACCTGTGGGGAAGTTTTGAGCCTGGGCCAGATGATCTGACAGGATCAGGGAGCTAAGAGCACAGCCCACTCCCCACACCTACACTGATGCTGCTGTTGCCGCCTGAAGAGAGAAACAGAGTGAAGGGGATCTTGGAATGTGGCTGGAACTCGCTCCCAGCTCTCTAATAAAGGCTCTGGGAGGGTCTGGGGGAGCTGAGAGGAGGGGCTGAGAGTCACCAATCCCAGGGTGGCTGGAGGGGAGGGGGAAGGGGGAAAGGAAGATGGAGACTGCAGCCCAGACACACAAACACACACACACACACACACACACACACACATGTAAACCATAAACCCAGCAGGGAGCTCAAGTTGTCCTGCAGCCCAATTTTCAACAGCACCTGAGCTACGCATTGTAAGGAATGCTGTGTGTGGTTTTTAGAAATTTTCCGGATGGGGTCTAGCTCAGTAGTAGGGACCCCTGGGTCCTTTTCCCCTCCTTGTCCATACACTAGCTCCTTGTCCTTTATTTTTTTTATTTTTGAACAATGTTTTTGTGTACCATGTTGTGCCAATTGAACTTGATGTCCCCCACGACCATGGTCCCCAGCCTGTAGGCCCAGTGACTTACTCCCTCAAGGTGCTTAGTTGTGGCTGAAAAAAATCCTGATTTTGCCCCCTGTTAGCTCTATAATGCATGTGGGCATGTTTATTGCACGTACAAATATGCACACAGGAATATCACCTGCCCAACCTGTGCATGGCCGTGAGGATACTCCCGTTCATCTACCCGTGCCGGATCTTCTTGCTTGTCGGTGTATCCACCCATAGATTAATGTCTGCTTTTACTGATAATGCACTATTGCGTATATAATAGTATTTACCTTTATCATCTGTGCCTCTTGTGCACCTCTCTGTGTCTTCCTTTTCCTTAGTGGTATTGTGCTAGTCACACACTTTTTATATTGCCTTTCTCTTCACCCAAATCAACATCTCTAGTCTCTTAACTAGAGAACAATTTTTCCTCTCTCTCCTCCCATGCCTGGTAGCCAACAAACTGACTGCCAGCCTAGAACAATTTCAGGTAGGGACCTCGCTGTGCTTCCCACCACCTGGACAACCAGGCTCAAATACTTAAGGGCTGGCCAGTGAGTCTAGCATCCCCTCTAGTCCTCACTTTCTGTCTGTCCCATCACATTAGTCCTTATACTGAGTGCAGGTCACCACTTCCCCCCAGCTACTGAATCCAGAAATCTAGTGTCTGCCTCTCTCCACTGCGTTTATGTTAACGCCTCTCCTCAACCTCCCCATCCCACTCTTGCTTGACTCTGAATCATCCTGACTTAGTTCCATTCTTTGGGAAATCTAACTTCTATCCTTCCTGCTGTAATCCTTGAGTAGAGGAATGATGGCTGAACTGTTCCCCTACCTCCACCCCTGCCCCAGGATTGATCTCTTAATTGCTGCTTCCCTCTTTCCTCCATTACTTGTTTTCCACTCTAATCTGTCACCCTGCAGCTCTAGCCTCTTTTCCCCTGGACTTTCAAGCCTCTTTTCGCCCCATGGTGTTGAGGGGGCTTATTCTGCTCATTTCACACCTACAATAGAGAGCCTCAGGGTAAGAGTCAGAGTCAGAATCAGAGACAACACCCAGAGAGAGACAAGTGGCTGAAAAAGTAGATAAGGTGCAAAGTGAAAGACATCAGTCATTTGCAACAGAGGGCAATGCAGGGCTCAAACATCTGCAAGGTGCTGCAGCACAGAGCAATCCATTGGATTTTCATCACCATGTCCATATAAAACCAAAGAAACCAAACCCACTGCCATCGAGTCAATTCTGACTCATAGCGACACCCACAGGGTTTCCAAGGCTATAAATCTTTACAAAAGCAGACTGCTCCATCTTTCTTCTGCAGAACAGCTGGTGGGTTCAAACCACCAGCCTTTTGGTTGGCAGCCAAACACCTTAACCACTACACCACCAGAGCTCCTTAGAACTGCCACAGAATGCTGTAAATCTTTATAGAAACAGACTGCCTCATCTTTCTCCCAAGGAGTAGGTGGTGGGTCCAAACCACCGATGTTTTCCTTAGCAGTCCAATGCTTTGACTGCAGAGCCACCAGAGCTCCTTCACCACCATTTCGGTAGGAAATAGTCTTACTTTTCAGATGAGGAAACTGAGGCTCAGAAGGTAAAGTCACTTGCTCTGGGACATTAAAAAAAAAAAAAAAACCTCACTGTCAGCCAATCAGTTCCGACTCATAGTGACCCCTCCTTGGGTTTCCAAGGCGGCATCTCTACAGAAGTAGATTGCCCAGTCTTCCTTCTGAGGAGTGGCTGGTGAGTTTGAACTGCCAGCCTTCTGGTTAGCAGTCAAATGCCTTAGACACTACAGCTGCCAATTAGTGGAACATAGTCATAAATTCAAGTTTTTCTCACTCCAAATTTCTGGTTCTTTTTACTGCACCAGTTTGAACTTTGACTTGTAGAGGGAAGTAGGTGTCCCACTTCTCCAAGAGACTTGGAAATTTGAGATCTGCTCTTCAATGATCTGGGCTTGGGGAAGAAAGCCTTGTCTCTGTGGTGAGTTTACCACAAAGACATCTGCTCACAGGCCTTCCCCAGTCATCCTATTTAAAATGACAATCATTTTAAATACCCATATCCATATCCCCCCTGCTTTTTGTCCTTCATAACATGTATTCTATAATATGCCAGCTATTTCTCTTATTTATTGTCTTTCCTCCCCCACTAGAATGTAAGCATCATGAAGTCGAGGTTTTCAGTTTGTTTTCTTTGCTAATGTATCCGTGGGAGCTCTGGTAGCATAGTGCCTAAGGTACTTGACTGCTAACCAGAAGGCTGGTGGTTCAAACCCACCAGCCACTCCTCTCAAGGAAGATGGGGCAATCTACTTCCATAGTGATACTGCCTCGGAAACCCAAGGAGGGGTCACCATGAATCAGGTCCGACTCGACGGCACATAACAACAACAACAACATAGGGTTTGTCATGTAATAGGTACGCAGTGTTGTTGTTGTTGTTATGTGCCATCGAGTCGGACCCGACTCATGGCGACCCCTCCTTGGGTTTCCGAGGCAGTATCACTACGGAAGTGCGATTGCCCAACCTTCCTTCCGAGGAATGGCTGGTGGGTTTGAACCGCCAGCCTTCTGGTTAGCAGTCAATTGCGTTAGGCAAGGTACTCAATAATACTTATTTAAAAACAAAAAAGGAAGGCAGCGCCAAGCTTCTTGTATCTCATCCCAAAATGTATCCTTTATGGAGCCTCTTAAGCACTCGTGGGTCCTGAAGTGTTTGTCTTCCCACCCACGCTCCCAAGGATGTGGACCATGTACTGAGAGAAGTCCCCCTCAGAACAAGATTAGCAAACTGGGTCTCAAGGTCCCTTTATTATGTGAGAAGCTAAAATTTCATTAAAAATCTCCCCATTACCCAGGTCTGTACGAGAAGAGAATGTTGGCCAGGACTCAGGGTTGGGAGAACTTGGTGGGATGGAAGACGGAAGTGTGGAGGGAGTTTACAATGCAAATGGTATAGCTGGTTCAGTTCTTCAAAAAGCTCAGGTGCTATTCCTAACTAGACCTTTTCAACTCCCCTCCCCAGCCCCCATCCAGAGAAGGAAGCCCAAGGTTGCAGGCTGGAGCCAGGAGTAGGGCAGCCAGAGGTGCTGTTAGACTGAGGGCTAAAGACCAAAGCCTCCAGGGTTCCATCCCTCCAATCAACAGCCCCCACCCTGTGCATCCCTGCCCCCAAGCCCAAGCACCAGGGAAGCAAGGCTTCAGCAAAGGTCCACCATGAATAATGTCCTTTGATGATGCAGCGTCTCATGGAGGATGGCTGGAGCCAAGCATGGGGGGAGCAAGGGGATGGCAGGGAGAATTGATCACCTCTTGATCTCTGGGATTAGCAAAGACTGAAAGAGCAGATGCTAAACTAAATTAGAGAGGTGGTGAGCAGGCCCAGTTTCACTTTGCCACAAATTTTATGTAAACGATAGGTAAAGAAGGTGTGTGGCTACAGAGCACTTTATTTACTTATTTTTTAACATCTACTCTATTTGAACAATGTCTCAAATACTGAAACTGTCACTGGCCTAGAGGAGCTGGGTACTTGGATTCCCTAGAAGGTTGTCTCCTGCAACTCTCCTCTTTGTTGCTGTGGCAGATCGAGATGAGGCTAGGGAAATGAATACACAGTGTGTTCAGATGAGCCTGGCTAGCTGGCCATATCCTAGGGATCAGAGGTAGAGGCAGACTCAGCATGTACCTATACACATGAAATGACCTGAACGTGTTGACCACCAGTGCACAGCTTTGGTGCACACATGTGGACTTCCTCAACATACTGGAAGCCTGCTGGTTGGGGGAGGGAGGGACCAAGCCTGTATGTGACATTGGGTGCATACACCAGTGAAGCATGGAAGGACAGAAGCTTCTGTGTCCTGCCAAGTCCTGTGGCCAGGAGATATCTAGGAGACAACCCACAGAGCAAGGAACTAGAAGAGCCCCTCAGAGACTTGGGGAGGAGATGAGCCAAGACTAGATGCCTGAGCTAGAGCTGCTTTACCTGAGATGCTGGCACGGCTCCACAGGGGTTTAGGAGAGTCCTCAGGGGATGAAGTAACCTAGACCTTGAGGATGCTGGACTTGACTGAGGAGGGGGAAGGCTATAGGGGTGACTGGCAGCAGAGCTCAAGCTTCTCCCACAGGCGATGGAAGCCCACTCAAGTCTGTAATAGAGGTGGGGAGACTGAGCCCCTGAAGACTGCAGGGGATGAAAAGAGATGGTCCTGGGCCCCAGATGAGAAGAAGAGAGACAAAGTCAGGAAAGGGGTGTAGGCAGGAGAGGCCAGAGTCCAGGAGAGGGAGAGGAGCCCCCTCCTTCCTGGAACTTCAGCTTCAGTCACCATGACCAGCACCATCTACTCAGCCAGCCCAGCCCAGAGAGCTGACAGTGCCTTCAGCCCTGTGAAAGGAAAAGCTGAGTAGGGAGCATCAGCTGCATATTCTCCTGAAATTGCTTTTGAAAATGACCAGACACTTCACTGGGAAAGTGACGACAATTTGGGCCCTGGGAGCAGGAGATGAGGCGGAGAGCGGGGGCGGTCAGGCGCAGGGCCACCCACCCCCTGCTCCGTCAGACAGGATCTCTTCGGCCTGATTCTGAGAAGTCAAGGATAGGGGGCTGACGGGAAGGCTGGACACAGCTCCCCAAGATATGCTTGAGCCCCCTCAGCCCCCTGGGAAGAACTGACTCCCTGGTTCCTGTCTCAGCTCAGAGCAGGGTATGCCAGAGACTTGAGACTTGTGCACCAGAGAGCAAGATTAATCTGCAGGCAGGGAGAGAAGTTAATCAGGGCTCCCCCACCAGCATGATTACCTGGGGCCGTGAGCTGCCTGCTGATGGGAGCCAAGGCGCAGGGAGAGACCCCAGCCTCAAGGCACAAGGAGTTTATCAGAGGAGGAGACGGAGGAGGAGGCAGGGGCAAGGCAGGGAAGGAAGAGATCAGGAAGGAAGAGACATCCAGAGGCAGAAACAAAGACAGCGGTTTGTAACCTCTTACAGAGCACAGATCTAAATACTGCAAAAACATGAGCTGCTTGTTCCCCAGAGGAAGAGACTGGGAGGGTGAGAGGCTGGGATAAGACAGTGTATGAGAAAACAGATATAAATGGCAGTGAAAAAATACTTAAAGCATCATACAAAACATTACGTACTGATATTAGTCAGAGCCCGGGAGCTCTGGTAGCATAGTGCCTAAGGCACTTGACTGCTAACCAGAAGGCTGGCAGTTCAAACCCACCAACCACTCCTCGGAAGGAAGGTTGGGCAATCTACTTCCATAGTGATACTGCCTCGGAAACCCAGGGAGGGGTCGCTATGAGTCAGGCCGACTCCACGTCATATAACAACAACAACAACATTAGTCAGAGCCCACAGAAGCAGGGACAATGAGAAGGTGCAAGACAGCTGGAGACAGCAAAAAAGATAATGATGATGACACAGGGAAATTTTACAGACCAGAGGGAAGAGGTGACGTCACAGAGATGGGAGAGCCTGGGAGGGGGCACCTTCCCTTGTCTAAATGCCACCAGCCTCAAGCCCCAGCTGGGGGACAGGGATTACCAAAAAGCTCTTGGCAAAGGGGGAAAATGCAGAACAGAATTTCAAATTCTCCAGACTTTCTGGAGCCATAAAGCCTGGATGAACCCCTGAAACTACTGCCCTTAGATAATACCTAAACCTTAAATCAAAAATATCTACTGAAGTCTTATTAAAGCCAAATAGTCAGTTGGCTTAACCGGTCAAAAAAGGTCTGCCTCGAGCATCATGTTCTTTCAAGAACTATCTATATGGGATCAAATGGACAACATGAACTGGAAAGATTAGATAGGAACTTTAGGGGGTGGTGAGTTAATGTTAATGGGAGAGGAACAACTCAGATAAGGAGAGTGAGAGTGGTTATATAACTCAAAGAATGTAATCAACGTCACCAAATGATACATGCAGAAACTTGAATTGACATATGTTTTGCTATGTATATTCTCAAAAATAACAACAATAAATGTTAGCAGTAGCTTGGCATCTCAGGTGTCTGGCAAGGCAGGGGGTGCCAGGCAGGAAGGTGTGAGCAGCCTAGTATTGAGTTGGGGGTGGGGGCAATGGCATTTCTGGGTTCAGGGGACCCTGCCCTCCCCAGCCCATCTCAGCTTATGTGAGTCTTCCAGCCCCGGGTCCCTTTTCAGGCAAAATCACCAAAGGATCTACCGTTTCCACCAAGACAGTGATCCTCACTTCTTCCCTCCAGGGACACACTTAATGAATCAGCCCAGTAACCACCTGCGACCTGAGCCCCATCTTTGACTTCCCCTCTGCCCCACCCCCAAGCTTCTCCAAACCTCAACTGAGCTCAGCCGGTCAAGGAGCCGAGAGACAATTTCCCTTCTTCCCCATTCTTATTATCTGTATTAGATTGCTCCAAGCAGCCTGGGGAGAGGAAGGGGGGTGGGGGGCTCTAAGTGCAACTGGGTGAGAAAATGGGTGAACATGGGACCCTCACCAGCTGACCAAACCTTTCAGAAGTCATTTGATTTATTAGTGGGCAAAGAGGCTGAGGGTGAGGGGACACTGAGTTTAGAGGAGAGGACTGCAAACGTTGGGGAAAAGAAAGAGCCTCCTCTTCAAGTTTTCTTCAATCTCCAAGCTCAGCCCCAAGATCAGAGGTGTTAGACATGAGGCCCTTCCAAAAATGTGTGTGGAGGGATGGTGGGTGATGGTCCAGGAGGAAGATGCTGTGGTCTTGGCATTAAGCCCCTCCTAGTCACTACACAGTCACCTCCAGGTCACGACTCCCCTTCTTCTTGCATCTTAGCTTGCCGTCCCCACCACCCCCAGGACCCTGGATGACCTTGACAGACACATTGCCCTCCTTGAACTTCACTGAGAACCTGGAGAGGGGAACAGACAGAAAGACAAAGCTAGTCCCCGCCTCCCTAAGCCCCTTACTCTCCCTCTCCCCAGACAATTCTGTCATGGCTCCACTTCCTTCCCTGAGGCAAGTCCATGCCCCATTATCTCCCCCAGACAAATTGGGGGGCATTAAAAAAACACCTCCCAGCTCTGCCCTGACATGCTATGCCTCACAGTCTGACTGTATCAACTCTCCTGGTCACAATGACCAACAGCTTGGTCATCTGCCCTAGGCCCTCCCTCACCCCCAGCTCACGGCCTTACTTCTCAGTCACAGTGACTGGCAACTGCCTCTGTGTGGCATTGAGCACAGCCCGGTACATCTTGGTCAGCAGTTCAATCACATGGTCACTGATCAGCAGGAAGTCTCCCTTGGAGCCCACTGATGACATCTTAGGAAGAGGGAAAAATATCAGGGAAAGAATTCACTTTCCTCAAAGGGAAGGACCATCAGAAGATGAAGGAACAAGCTCAGCATGGAGCCTGGTCCCTGACATCTCCATCCCCAGGATGCTACCACGTTCTCCAGTCACAGGCCCTGCTCCAGCCCGACCCTGATACCTCACTCAGATGCAAGGTAAAGAGTCCATCCCTAAAGCCTGTCACTGACACCTCAGCCACACTGTCCAGCCCAATGACAATATTGGCCTGGGACTTCTTGGTGTCTGTGAGAATCACATGCCTCTTGGTCAGGAGGAGAATCCGAGGGGAGGTCTAGGACAGAAGAAGAAAAGGTAAGGAAAAGCAGGGATTAATCCCACCCCATTCCACTCAGAGCCAGAGGCTTAAGCAAAAGAAAACCCAAAGCATACACACAGCCCTTTGGGTCTGGTTCCCAAGTGTCTTCCCCACTGTTGGGAATCAGGCTTCAGGAGGAGCTCAGGAGTCAAGGCTTCACCTTGCCATTGCCACGATTGACCTTCTTCACAGTCTCTGCCATTAGAATAGGCCCTTCCTCACTGCCCTTCAGCTTCTGTAGTCTGGGATTCCCTTGCAGCCCAATGTAGTCACCGTGGAATTGTATGGGGACACTGAAGACACACAGGAGGGTGTACAGTAGAGACAAGGTCCTCACTACTGACCCCCAAGGCCCTGTGCTTTTCCCATAGAGTTCCCGTCTTAGTCTTCCCACATGTCTCCTCGTCTTCTACCTGAGCCTCTGTCTCAGTGGTTCTCAAATTTTGGTCCCTGACCAATAACATCAGCAGTACCTATGAACTTACTTGAAAAGCAAATTCTCTTAAAAACAACAGTTAAGCTAAATTAGTATAGAAGGTTCACCTTGCACTCATTTAATTATCAACAGTAATCTAAAGCACTGAAGAAGAATTCAGGGGATAAAGAGTCTAAGTCAATGGTAGTAAAACAATACCAGTAGAGATAGATAGCAAGAATGGTGACACAGTATGAGGAATTGTGTTATTGAATTGTACACATGGGAATTGATGAACGGCTGTATGTTCTGCTGTGTATATTTTCACCAAAATTAAAAGAAAAGAAAAGAAAGGCAAATCCTTAGGCCCCAACCCCAACCTGCTAAATCAGAAACTCTGAAGAGGGGACCCAGCAACGTGGGTGCCAACAAGCCCTCCAGGTGATTCGATGCACACTAAAGTTTGAGAATGTGGCTTAATCTAAATGGGGGTGGAAAGGCCCATCTACAAAATCTTCTCCTGGCACTTGAAGAAACTGGCTGCACAGGGTCTGGGGGCTCTCACCTCTGGGGGTATGACGCCTTTTTGCCCTTGAACAGTTCACTGGCACAGAGCTTCTCCCTCAAGACTTCTACCTGCGCGGGGGACAGCTGATCCCGGAACTTCTTGCACTGGTGAGAGGAGGAGGGCAGGAGCTAAGGTCAAGGCTGGAGAAGGGCAGGGCTAGGGGAAGGGGGTGGGGAGGACACTGTCAGGAAAGGAGTAGGAGCTGAGAGACAGGAAAGGAGAGGGACAGGGATCAGAGGACCCTAGAAGAGACATGGCAAAGAGAGAGAGAAAAGGGCAGGTGCTAGTCACTTCAGGGAGAGGGCAGGGGCTGGAGGAACACTGGAGAAAAGCCGAGATTGAGGGAATGCTGGCGAGGTGAGCGGAATCAATCAGTTAGAGAAGCCCTATGAGGGCTACATGGCCATCACACAGTACAAGACCTAGGCTCAGACAGGTGCTCAGTAAGTATTTTCTGAATAAAAGAACAAATAAGAGGAGAGGTGCCTAGCCACCCGGAGATGCTGCCATGGGCCCTTCACCTTCCATTGGTAGAAGAGCTGCCGCAGCTCCTGATTAGCCGCGTGGAAACACTTGTAAGGAGCAGTTGGCCACTTGTTGTCCAAGACTTTGGTGGATGGCAGATTATTCTTCAGCCCCAGTAGGAATTTCTGTGCCTGGGTGAGAGCAGGGGGTGTGAGGGTGGAATGGTGAGAGACACTCCCTGATGGGCAAACTCACATCCGGATCCTGCAAGTTAAAAGGAAGAAAGCCACCCACAGAGGGAGCAAGTGGAGTTCGGTAGACAGAAGGAAGTCACCTTCCTGCATCTCTTTCAGCATGAAGTACAGACTTGGGGCTAGGAGGTAACAGCATGAATGAGAGGTGGGAGGGAAGGAAGGATTGGTTGTAATCAGAGAGACCTACTGCTCAGGACAGAGAGGTGGACAGAACCAATATGAAAGCCTGTCTCAATATTTTGCTCCTGTACCTTCCCTATTGTCAGCTCACAATTGTCTACAATTGTCAGCCACAGTCTATGCTGGCTATTGGATGAGTCTCCTCTCTGACCAGTCAAGTCCAAACATCTCTGCCTGGCCTTCAAATTCCTTCACTTTGAGCCTAATCTCATGTCATAGGATCCCCTGCTTTCTCCTGGAACCCCAACCAGACATGTCACGCTTTCTACCCAGCTGATGCGTCATCACTGTGTCTTAGCTCATGCTGTCCTCTCAGCTCAACGCTGCCACCCCACATTCCACCCATCCTTTGAGATTCAGCTTGAAGCCTTGTGATTCCCTGGACCAAGAGCAGAGCCCCCAGAGCACTGGTCTATGCCTCTGTCTTTGTACTACAGCTGTTCATTTGGAGATCTTTGCCCTCTTCTAGACAGTGAGTCCTTGGAAGGCAGCATCCCAGGTCTTAAGTACTTTTGGTACCATTCAAAATAGCATTGATTGTCTGCTCTGTACCTGACACTGTTCTAGGTATGAGGACAGAGCAGTGAATGGAGCAAAGCCTTTATTCTCATTGAGCTTACACTCTCCTGAGGAGTGAGGTCAGAGAAAGACACAAGCGAATAAATATATGATACAGTGTTCGTTAATGGTATCTGCTCTGATGGAAAAAGGAAAGGCTTGAGGCAGGAATGAGTGGTAGCAGGTGCCAAGAATGGAAAGCAAGCCAGTGTGGCTGCAGCAAACTAAGCAAGAGGAGAGACTATTAGAGAGCCAGACAGGGTAGGCTGTGGTAAGGAGTTAGACTTTTACTCTGAGGAAGACAGAACACCATTAGAAGGCTTTGAGCAGAAGAGTAACAGAATCTGACTTAAGTTTCCTCTAAATTTGATATAATTTATTTTTTATTTTGAAAGTTTTTAAGCTCAAAGAAAAGCTGAAAAAAGAGTACAATGAACAGCTGCATATGCCTCATCTAAATTCACCAACTGATAATGTTAACATCTTGCCTTATTTGCTTGCTCTCAATATGTGTGTGGTGTGCATGCACATGCATGTATATACATACATGTGTGAATAAAATGCACATATCTATGTATGCATATAAATCTACACATACACACATATATATGCACATACACCATCGTGACTAAACCAAAAACTGCCATTGAGTCAATTCTGACTCTTAGCAACCCCATTGGGTTTCTGAGGTGGTAAATCTTTACAGAAATAGATTGCTCAGTCTTGCTTCCATGGAGTGCCTGGTTTGAACCACCAACCTTCAGGTTAGCAGTCAGATACCTTAGGCACTGTGCTACCAGACTTCCTTACTATCATGACATTTCACCCTTAAACCTCATTATGCATTTCCCAAGAACCAGGACATTGCCCAACATAATCATAATTCCATTACCACAATTACCACACCTAGAGAAATCAGCATTAATGAGATACCCTCATTCAACAGCAATCCACAATCAAATTTCTCCACATATTCATTATAAATTTCTAAACATGTTCTTCATAGCTTTGTTTTTGTTTTTAATGCTTCAGGATCCAATCAGGTTTTACCCATTGCATCTAACTATTTAGTCTCCCCACGTCTAGAACAAGAATTCTTGAGTCTTCAAATTCCAGAGAGCACCTTAGCATCCTCATTGTCTATGAGATAGAATTATAGAAGGTTTAGAAAATGATTTGATCTTGGGAACTTCCAAATGATTGGAATATTCATGAAAAGTTTTTACTAAGACATTCCAACTCGTAGCAACCCCTCCTTGGGTTTCCAAGGCAGTATCACTTCGGAAGTATATTGCCCCATCTTCCTTCTGAGGAGCGGCTGATGGGCTTGACCCTCCAGCCTTCTGGGTAGCAGTCAAATGCCTTAGGTACTGTGCTATCAGAGCTCCTACTAAGACATTAGGTTAAGAAAATCAAAATGGAAAAGGACAGAGCACAGAGTATGTTGCTCTCTAACTCTCAGGAATTATCCAGATTTTGGGGCTAGGTACACAGGATCTGGGCCTCGGGGGGCCTCCAATCTACCCTGGACTCCCCAGTCTTTGTCTGCTTTAATTTAGTTCAACATTCTTGAACATTTCCCATAATCTCTTTGGTTCCAATCAGTGTGAAATCTCAGAGGGTTTTTTGTTTTGTTTTTTATTTTTTTCCCTGAGTTCAGAAAATGTTGACCTTCCCTATGCAACCCTCCTGCCTCCAGGTCCTGCCAGTAGTACTAGTTGGGGTCACTAGTTCCAGTTCCAGTCACCATGGCAATCCCATGGGTCTCAGAGTAGAATTGCACACCACAGGATTTCAAAGGGTGATTTTTCCAAAGTAGATAGCCAGTCCTTTCTTCCAATGCAGTACTGTACAATGGTTAAAAGCTCTGGAGTAGGATCAATTGTACGCTAACTCTACTACTTAACAACTGTGAGATCCCTGACTATATATATATATATATATATATATATATATATATATATTTTGTTTTTTTTTAACCTTTCTGAGCCTTAGTTTTTTTTTTACCTATAAAGTGGGGGAAAGGGTAGGGCCTACCTCACAGGGGTGTAGAAAGCATTACAACATGAGTTAATGCGTGTAAAGGGCTTAGTGGGTAGAAAATGCTCAGAAGATGGTAGATACTATCATTAATTATAATCAGAAACACTGGGGGAATCCATGCCCAGAGGCCCCCTGTATGCTTCCTTAGGGGTGTGATTTATTGAAGTATTGGTCTAAATCCAAGAGCTTCTGAGTTGACATTCAGCAACTGCCTGATAATATACAGGTCTCAGGTATGTAGCAAGAGAGCACATACTCCAAGGAAGCAGACAAGCTGGAGCCAGGAAGAGAGGGGCCAGGCAACATAAAAGACCGGGAAAACGGAACTCCCCTGAGGACGGGAGGAGGAGAATGTAGGAAAGGCTCAGTGAGGCAGAGAAGCGGCCTGGAGCTTCAGAACTCTGCTGATGGGTCCAGCTTCTCTAAAAACAAAAAGAGGCTCCAAACAAATGTGTCTTGTATTTGAACGAGCACAGTTAATCAGGGTCTTAGCTACTGTTCAAATCCAGCCCTCTGCCAAAGGTCTCCTGCTCTTGCTCTGCTCTGGCCTTTGCAGGAGTTTCAGGGAAATGCTGCTAGAACTCTCCCATGTCTGATTGCCTTCCAACACTGCTGCTGTCTGGTGGAAGTCTCCAGAAATTCCCCTCTCTGTCTCTCTTTCTTCCCACTAGAAACTGCTCAGAGTTTGAATATCTCTAGGCCTGGCCTTGACTTCTTCCCGCCCACTCTGATCCAAGTCTTCCCAAATTAAGATAGGCCCTTCCTGAGATTTACCTTCTGACTCTCCTGCTGTCGTTTCAGAGGCTAGAGTTAGATATGATTCCTGCATCCTCGTTAGTCAGCACCTGACTTATGGTGACCCACAATGGAATGAAACACTGCCCAGTCCTGTACCGTCCTCATGACTAGTTGCAGATCAGACTGCTGTGATTCACAGGGTTTTGGGTGATTCAGGGCAGTAGATGGCCAGGCCTTTCTTCCGAGTCCTTCTTAGTCTGGAAGCTCTGCTGAAACCTATTCAGCATAACGGCAACACACAAGCCTCCACTGACAGACAGGTAGGTGGTGGCTGGGCATGACACGCATTGGCCAAGAATCAGAGCCAAGTCTCCCACAGGCAAGGCATGAATTCAACCACTGAACCACCATAGCCTCCTCCACACTTATCCCAACCCTAAAATGTGTCTATTAATGTTGGGCTATTTAACCCTACCTAACCAGAAGGTTGGCAGTTCAAAACCACCAGCCCCTCAGGGAAAGGAAGACTGGGCAATCTACTTCCGTAAACCACCTCGGAAACCCAAAGGGGGTCGCTGTGAGTCGAAATCAACTCGATGGCAGTGAGTTTGGTTTATTTAACCTACATATGTCCTTGTTCTGCTTGTCAATGAGGCCCTTTCAACCATTGTTAAATATCCCGCCCCAACCTCTTCTTGGGCCTATTTCCCCAAGGATCAGATGCTAAGTGTGCTGGGACCCCTTCTTGCCCCAAGGTTGCCTGGAATGTCCACTCAAGCCAAAATACTCTCTGATTCTACCCCTGGGCCCCCGAGGCTGCTCCTTGCAAGCTGCTACCCGCTCCCTCCTCTCTAAGCCTTAATTACATGCAGATGAGGAACAGGTTGGGGAAAACCTCTGAGTGGCCTCCAACCCCACATCTTCCTCTTCCAAACCTGTCCCTTTCTCCTCACCCCAGCTCCCACCTTCAGTCCCCACCACTTACTATGCTCTTGTAGATGAAATCTGCCAAAGTGAGGGCCGCCCCTGACCGGAAATATTTTCGATAATCCTTGCGGGCCTACAGGAAAGGAGCCAATGTGATGACAGAAAGTATCTGGAGGAAGAGGTTCTGCTATCTTTCAATCACACAGAGTGGAGAAAGATAAAGAGCTGAGAGAGCTGGAGGGAATAAAGTCAGACACCCCAGCAGTGAAGAGGACACTGAAGACAGAAGGCAGAGCCCCTCCCACCAGACATAGATGCAAATCCTCCAATACACAGGCACACTGGCAGACACACAGACAAGCCATCATATGGGGATATGCCCTGGATCAGCCAGGACTTGCTCCCAGCAGCTGGTATAATCCAGGAGGAGCCCTGTGGGGAAGGGACCATGTGGGGAGGAGGCCCCCTACCCCATTACCTTCCACCCTCTCACAAATGCCTGGATCAATAGTGTAGATGCCTTAATCTTCCCATAGCGTTTCTTTTGCTGCAGAAAACATTGAGCCCATTAGAAAACCCCTTGGAAGATCTGCCCACCCAAACCTTGCCTCCTGAACCACCTCTCCCACTGTTCACTCTCCTCATTACAGTCTGGGCAACAGGGCTTTGGGTGTGGCTGATACCATGTTGCCCCTAAACCAGGAAGAGATGAGGATCTGACTCTTGCGCATCAGCTGGTAGTGGGTGCGGCAGCGCCAGCCTCGGTATGTCTTCTGGATGAGTGTGGCCAGCTGCTGGAGTTTAAGGCGCCGCTGCTCTTCCAGGTAGAAAAGCTGGGGAGAGGGGGAAAAGGCACAGAGAGGCTGGGGAGAAACACTCGCTCTCCCCCACACCCCATAGTACCAGAGGCTTCCAGTCTGTGCTTTATTGGATCATTCTATCATCTTATTAGTTTGTTCATTCATTCATTAATTCATTTAACAAGTATCTACTGAACTCTAACTCTGTAGCAGGCACTGGGCTAGGTGCTGGGGAATTAGGCATAAGTGGAACAAAACCCCTACCCCCAAGGAGTTCCACTTCAGGTAGAGGCACTCAGGGGCCAAGCAAGCACCAAGCTCAAGCAGGGGCGGGAAGCCAAGGATTCAGGTCCCAGGGATAAAGCCCCTGCAGTGAGGAGACAGCCTCATCCACCATCCACATTATAGATGCTCCCCTCCCCTCCAGTCTCTAACTTCTCCACCTTCCACCCCACCAAACACAAGTGCACTCTCCAACTCACAGTCTTGGGATTCCTAATGAAGATCTTTGTCTTCCCAAAAGCCAGCTCCTCTGAGGCCACAATCAGCTCCCCCATGACCTTCTCAACCCCCTCCCTACAATGAGTACATGGGAAAAAGCTGCAGAGGGATCTCCCAGGAGAGGGTGGCTCCTTCTCCACCTTCCCCCTAGCCCTTATTTCCCCAGGGGAAGGGTTCAGGATTCAAACAGACCTCAGAGCCTCCAAAATGATGATTTAATTCATTTCCCCAAGTATCCATGCAGCAAGCCTCAGAAGATGTGCACAACATCAGCCCTTCCTGGTCTCTTTCCCAGAGATGTCCCCTCCATTGCCTTCCTTGCTCCCCAGCCTCTCCACTGGATCTTACCTCTCTCCTCCGTTCCAGCGAGGCCAGGTGCTCCGGCTCAGTAGTCTGTACCTTTCCAGGAAGGGCCCATACCCCTGGCGATAGGCATAGCCTGCCCGTCGCACTCGCACATTCTCCAGCAGCCCCAGGTACTGAACTTGGGTGGCCACCAGCTCCAAGGAGAACTGACCATGCTGCTGATGCTCATTGGGCTTAATGCACCTGGATGGGAGGTACAGCGAGGCATGGGCTTCAAGAGCTGATACTTTTACCAGTGTAACCCATCCTGGTCTCTGCACCCCTATCTGCATATATTCCCCTTAGACGACAAATTTCAGAGGAAGGGGATATGCTTGTCTTCCAAGTTTCATTCACTATTTCATTCACTACTGATGTTACCAAAATCTGATGCTCTCCCTCCTACAGGAGGCTTACTCCTCATCTGGCTGCTTTCCATAAGGAAAGGCCTTGGATACCCTTATTCCAGAGATATGCCCCACTGTGGACATATTCTGTAATGCACAGACTCTTCCTGTGCCATCATATATGTAATACATCCACCTGTGTGTTCAGCATGTCACCTGATGTAGTTGGGGTTCTTGGAGTACAGGTTCTTCATGAGTGTAACCACAGAACTCTTGAACTGAGCCCCAGCAGTTGCAGGGCGTTTGAGAGATGCCTGCTTGGGATCACCCTCAGGGAACAAGGAGCGAAGGAGGGGGTGCTGGGCCTTCCACATAGCCTGGGACAGGTCCCGGAAGAGTAAGTCGTTATTTTTGTCAATGAAGCTGGTCACATTGTATGTCACCTGTAGAGGGAGAACTATTGTTTCGGAGGTCCCACAGCCCGATCCCAGCACTTGGCTCTACCCAGTCCCATAGTAAAGTATTCCCAGCTCCCACCTCCCCTAACTTCTCCCCCATTGCCTTCAGTCTGCGCCCCAGCCCTAGTCTTTGCCCATCAGGCTGCCATATCACCTTGCCGGCATAGTGGCAGATACGGAAGCAGCTGAGGCCCATGGTGTGATCGTACTGGCGCTGGGCATTCTGAGTGACTTTGCTCTCATAGTGATCATGCTTGGAGAATTGTTGGTTGAGCTTCGCTAGGAAGGTAGAGTCACTGACCACTCCAGGCCGCAGGCACTCCTCATCGAGCATGGCCAGGATACCTCGCTGACTCTGGGCCAGGGGAACAAGATCAGCCCGAGCCAGACCTGGTTCCCAAGATATCCATGCTTTCACTGCTGCTCCCCATAATTTTCTTGTTCTTTTCTCTCTTTACCAAGGGGTAGGACAGGGCAGGGTATTCAATCAGGCTGTTTGGAAGGGGGAATCTCAGAGGTAAAAGAAAGATAACTCACATGTTCAATAAGGTTGCAGATGATACCATTATCAAAGTAGTCCACCTTTGTCCATGGTATTCCCTGGCAAGGGAAGATGCAACAAAGTACAGGCAGTGGGTCCAAGACAAATCTTCATAGCCTCACTAGCATCAGCCTTCCCTTTCAACCACCCCACAAGGGACCATTGGGACCATTAAAAAGTCCCATAGTTTGAAGGGGCCCTTCAATGTGGTTTCTGTTTACATTTCCATCCCTCTGACCCCAGTGGGGAATTTGTGGGATGGTTGGACAGACATATGGGAGAACCTAGAGCAGCTGTGAGGGAGAGTGAGACAATACAGGGAGCCCTGTAGGTGAGGCAGAGAGAGGAGTGTAATATGTTGGGTGAGGGCTAGGATAGGGATGACCCTACTGGAGGAGTTGGAAAGGATCCATGTGCATGTGGAAAAGCAAATAGCCCCAGTACTTTAGCAATGAACTATAAACTTGAGGCCATGAGCAAGACTTTATCATCACACAACAAAGCTAATTTGACACAAGTTCAGAGATCACCATGAGTAATTCTCAAACTGGAGTAAGCATCATCATCACTTGTTAAAACAGGCTTGTTAGAAACAGATTGCTGGACCCCATCCCCAGAGTTTCTGACTCAGTAGACCAGGGTGAGACCCGGGAATGTGCATTTCTACCATATTCCCGGGTGATGCGATGCTGCTGCTCCAGGACTGTACTTCGAGAACCACTGATCTACGTAATACCTTTGAGATTGCATAATAAATAAATAAGAAATGATATTAAAAAGCAGGAGTGGCACAGAAGCAGAATGCCCAGAGACAATTTTTCCCTCCTTTAGGGACTTGCTGGGCATTAGCTCTGCAGGCAGACCTCCTAGGCTGAGGCCATTCCCAGGTGTGTAGGAGAGCACAAGCCTTTCTTCCCTCCTCCCTCATAGAGTGGAATTAAGTCAAATTGCCCTCCCACTTTCCTTACAATCCTTTGTAGCCGCTAAAAATAATTGATTAATTAATTAAAGATCTTTATATACTGATAAGAAAAGATCTCTTCATAAGTTATAAAAGTAAGGTGCAGAACAGAGTGTATTTACTGCTATTTGTAGGAAAAAAAAAAAATATTTACAGATTTGCTTGTATATACACAAAACACCTCCAGAAGGAAAAACTTTAGCTACCTTGGTTAGGAAGGGGGCATAGAGGCCAGAGACAGGGGTGGGAGGGAGATGCCTCACTATATACCCTTTTAAGCTTTTTGAATTTTGAAGCATAGGAATACATTATTTATTCAATAATTTTAATTTTTTTAATTAACTCTTTTGTGACCTGTGGGCCATATACAACCCACCAACATTTTCAGCCTCTCAGGTTTCTTGGGAAACTGGTATCCTACTTGTAGTATGTGCTACTGTCTAATGGGGACCTCTATAACTTCATGAGTCTGAAGAAACAGGCCTTATCCCACCAATCGAATCCACTTGGGACTTATGCATCCATATAATTGTATCAAAATCCATATTACCTCAAAAAATATTTTCCCTTAATTTCAGCATGCTTTCCATTACTGAAAACACATAGTATCAACAAAAAATTCAAAGCATAAAATAATTTGGTCATGAAAGGATTAAAACAACAAAAACCCTTTCCCATACATTGTGACCACATTGCCTGAAATTCTGCCATCCGAGGTTCCTGACAGTACACGGAGGAATACTCCTGGGAGGGTTTAGATGAGTGAGACTCTCTGTCATTCTCACTTTGGGGTGGGTTAGCTCAGTCAGAGGGCTTTTCTAACACCTTGCCTTGAAACAGGGGTTTTTACTGAATCTGGGAAGAAGTGTGGAAATTTTGAGCCATGGGCACTTGTGGTGAGGAAATTGAGGATCAGGGTACTGCAAGAGGGCACAGCCACAGCTGCCAGGGCCCCAGAGGAGACAAAGGATTCTGAGATGTTAGAGAAGGACAAATGAAGGGATGTGGTAGGGTGCCAAGCCCAGGAGAAATGTCCCTTCTAAATTGGGTTCACAGTCTGCCATAGGCCAAGCACAGCTGTCACTTCCCCCTTGTCAAGACTGCACACACACACATACACACATGTCCATCAATCTGGCCTTTCTGGAGCTGGGGGCTGGGGTGGGGGTAGGGATAAGTGATAGGAAGCACAGAATTAGGGCTCCTTGGCAATGCTAAAACGTTCAGCTGCACAAGGGGAACTTTTTGTCCTTTGTGTTCCCATCTGGGGACAACTTAGGGTAAATTGTGATCAAGCAGAAAGATCTCGCATATTTTGTAGTAGTCATTTAAGAAAGAGGAAACAGGGAAAAGACTTCATTTACCTCTCTCTTATACTCCTCCTGCTCCTCTTTCAGGGTTAACTCTATGAACACCTGCTGTAGCTTCTCGTTGCAGTAGTTGATCACAAATTGCTCAAAGCTATTATCCTGAGGGAGGGTACAGGTTAAAGAGAGACCAGAGACCAGCTCACTCCAAGACCCTTCTCTTTCCTCCCCTCTCTCATATCTCCCCCTTTGACCTGTCCGCCTCTGTTGTTGTGTGCTGTCAAGTCAATTCTGACTCATGGCAACTCTATATTACAGAAGGAGAACTGTCCCATAGGGTTTCCTGGGCTATAATCTTTACTGGAGCAAATCACCACATCTTTTCTCCTGTAAAGCTGCTAGTGGGTTCGAACCACAGACCTTTTGGTTAGCAGTTAAATGCTTAACCATTGTGCCACCAGTGCTCTTCTATCTAACCTAGGAAGTAGGGTGCTGAGGTTGGGTGAAGCTGCCTTACCTGTAATATTTCAAAGCCGTAGATATCCAGGACCCCCATTACCTTCTTCTTTTCTCCAGTGCCCACCTGAAGAGGAGGGAAAGAGAAAAACGAGGACAAGCCCTTCTTGGACAGATGTGACTAGAACAGGAGGCAAGCAGAACTAGGGTGACCTTGACCAAGCTAAAAAGGAATTGTTGCGATTTTATTCACCTTCTCCTTCCATACACTGGAGGGCAAGTGAGGAGGGAGGAAAGAGGAAAGGGAAAATGCAAATAGACTTCAGAATCGTGCTTCCTTGGCATGAAGTAGAAATGGTCCCTGAGTGGCACAACAGTTAACACTCAGCTACTAGCCACAAGGTTGGTGGTTCAAGTCCACCCAGAGGTGGAAGAAAGGCCTGACAATCTATTTTTTTCTATGCATTCCTTCCCCCTGAGCTATCTCCCTGTGCAAATACTGTGCTTCCATTCTCCCATGACTGATCATTCTAAGGAGTGTACCTACCTGATGTAAATGTTCACCCTATGTGCTTGTCTATTGTTTGGTTGCAAGCTATGGGAGTGACTTCAATTCTAGACTTGAAGGGCAACTAGGGGCCTTAGTGTCAGGCTTCTCACCAGGCTCTATCAAATCAGTAAGGCTGGTCTTTTTTTTTTTTTTATGATTTTGAGTTTTGTTCCACATTGTTCTCCCATTCTATCCAGGATCTCTTGCACTGATCCTTTTCTGCATGGTAGCCAGGAACTATCTAGCTCTTCTGGTCTCATCGTCATATAGGCTGAGATTTGCATGGTCCACCAGTCCCTTGGACTAACTGTTTCTGTGTGTCTTTGGTTTTCTTCATTCTTCTTTGTTCTAGATGAGGAGAGACCCATTGTTGCTTCTAGATGGCCACTTGCAAGCTTTTAAGACCCAGGTCGCTACTCATCAAAGTAGGATGTAGAACAATATTTTGTGTAGTATGTTATGCCGGTTGAACTTGACGTCTCCTGCAACCACGGTCCTGAGCCCACAGATCCAACTACTCACTCCCTCAGGGTGGCTGGCTGTATCTAAGAAGTTATCATAACTTTGTTCCTTGTTAGCTCTAATATATATTCCTACAGCACATACAGGGAGCTCTGGTAGTGTAGTGCATAAGGCCCTTGACTGCTAACCAGAAGGCTGATGGTTCAAACCCACCAGCCGCTCCTTGGAAGGAAGGTTGGGCAATCTACTTCCGTAGTGATACCGTCTTGGAAACCCAAGGAGAGGTCGCTATGAGTCGGTTCCAACTCAATGGCATATAACAACAACAACAACAGCACACACAAATATGTATGTATGTAGAAATATCGTCTGCCAACCTTATATATGGTCATGGGTATATTCCCTTCTGCCTAGACATACCTGATCATTCAGCCTGTCTACCCATCTACTTACCTGCAGATTAATGTTTGTTATTACTGATAATGCAGATTGTATATGTAAAATGGTTTATCGTTGTTTTCTGTACCTCTTGTGCACCTCTCTGTGTCTTCCTTTCCTTAGTGTTATTGTGCTGATCACTCACTTTTGGTATATTGCCTTTCCCTTCTCCCATATCAATACTTGTCTGACAATCAGCTTTCAAACAATCCACTGAAAACCCTATGCAGCACAGTTTTACTCTGTGGAATGCATGGGATCTCCATGACTCAGAATCAACTCGACAGCAGCTGGTTTGGCTTTTTGGTTTGGTATGAGGTAGAAAGACACTAAAATCCTCTCAGGGTATTAACCATCCTTATATTTGTAGGGCATTTTATAAGTGATTTCATATCTGAATTTCATTAATCCTAACCATCACCTGGTGGTTCAAACCCACCAGCCACTCTTCGAAGGAAGATGGGGCAATCTACTTCCATAGTGATACTGCCTCGGAAACCCAAGGAGGGGTCGCTATGAGTCGGATCCGACTCAACGGCACATAACAATAACAACCATAACCCTATAAGGTATATGGAGTAATCCCATTTTACAGAAGAAAAACAAATCTCAGAAGGGCTAAGTATTTGTCCAAGCCTAGATTCAAACCTCATCTACCCTGCTGCCTTTCAGCAATACACACTAAACAGATGGCACTTTCATGTGCATAACTTTTTTTAAACAGGCTTATTGAGATATAATTCACATACCATAAAATTCACTCTTTTAAAGTATACAACTCAGTGGCTTTTACTATACTCACAGAGTTGTGTGATCATCACTACTACTTAATACTAGAACATTTTCAAAAGAGATCCCATACCCACTAGCAGTCACTTCTTATTTTCTCTCCCCCAGCCCCTCACAACCATTAATCAATTTCCTATCTGTATAGATTTGCCTATTCTGGACATTTCATATAAATGGAATCATATAATAAGTGGCCTTTTGTATCTGACTTCTTTCATTTAGCGTATTTTCAAGGTTCATCCATGTTCTACCATATATCAGTATTTCAATCCTTTTATTGGCTGAATAATATTCCATTGTATGGATATACACATTTTGTTTATCCATTCATCTTTGATGGTCATTTGAATTGTTTCCACCTTTGGGCTATTATGAACAAGGCTTCTATGAGCATTCATCTACAAGTTTTTATGTGGTCATGTGTTTTCAATTCTCTTGGGTATATACAATTAGGAGGAGAATTGTTGGATCATATGGTAACCATGCATATAATTTTATCTGATCCTCATTAAACCCTACGAAGTAGGTGGGCATTAGTGTCCCATTTTCCAAATCAGAGAACTGAAGCTCAGAATTTATGTGAAATTCAAAGACCACATATCTGGTCTGTTGGGGATCCAGATCGTCTAATTCAGAAACCAGTGATGTTTCCACAACATATACTATTGGAAAGAACTGTACCCCACCCCTCACTTTTCTTACGGTTCATCTCAGAACTCAAGGTATGGGGCTGGAGACCAGAACAAGAAAAGTGAGGGAAGCAGAAGAGTGTTGAGAGAGGAGGGCTCTTTACCTTGATACTCTCGTTTATTCGATACACTATCCAGTTGAAGAGGCGGTTGTAGATGTTCTTGGCCAAAGCGTCCCGAGCATACTGAGCCTGCAGAGCCAGGCCAAGCTGATCAGTGTGGGCAGCCACCAAACACTTTCAAAACCAATACCGTCTTATAGGGTCCCTTACCTGGGTGACACTTAGTGCAGTGACCACTTTTTCTTTGGCTGTTTCCATAGTCCTTGAACACAAAGCTCTCTCCAGGTCCTCTAAATTTAAACCCACCATCTTCCCAATCTCCTGAATACCTGGAGTGATGAGAAAATGCTACATAGCCCAAGAGAAGGCTTCCTCTCATCTACCCACCCCCCCTACCTGTAGAGGGAGGTGGGGCTGATAATTGAAACAGCCTGAGAGATTGGTGTCCCTGGGTCTCATTGTGGAAAATCATTGCAGACACTTATGGCTCTGGAGGAATGTCTGTGTGGGGGAAAAGAAGGGAGTTCTGGGCATTTTGCTGGCCTTATCTACTTTAATATGAGGATCTCCTGAAACAGGTGTGATTATTCGCATTTTGCAGAAGAATCAACTGAGATCCAGAGAGGTCCCAGAGTCTAGGTCTACCAAAACCTGTTTCCAATATGCCTCACTGGGAGTTCTCAATGAGCCTGTTTGGAGAAGAACTCAGGAGTGGGCTGAGTAAGATTGAATCAGAATGAAGTCAAGTGAGTTGAAGATGCTGGAAGATTGGAACTGCAGTAGGAGAAGGGGCTCCAGCAGGATGGTGCTGACCTTGCCTATCACGGATCCCACTTGCTGGTATCCCACTGGCCTGGAACTCATCCGCCAGCTCCACGTTCCCCAGTTTCAGCACCAAGGCCGTCACCTCTAGCACCTGTCGAATCTCCTCCTCCGAGAACCCAATCACAGTCATGGCACTCTTAGGGGAGAAGCAGAATCGGAAGCTGGACTGGTGGTGCCAATCCAATGCCCCGCTTCTCAGAGTTGGGCTCAGAGGATGGCCTGAGCACCCAAGCCTACCCCACCTTAGGCACCCACCTGTACAGCCTTAAAATCGGAGACATCATCTATACCATCCACTCTGGACACATCCCGGTTCAGATAAGAATAGTGACTTATTTCCCGCTCAAGCTTCAGGGCCTCTGTAAGGGCCAGTGTGAGGGGAAGAGGTTAGTGCATGGGCTCTGTGGAGCCTTCCAGCCTTGACACCAACAGCCCTTGCCTAGGTTTGTTCATTCATTTATTCACAGGAGCCGTTTCTGTTTTAGGTTCTTCCCTTACATCTTTTGTTGTTGGATCATTAATTCCTGTAACAATAGACTAAATTTTTAAGTGGTATGTAGGGTTTGAGTGTTCATAGTTGAGGTTGTTGTTTTTTTTTTTTTAACTTTTATGAAAGAAAAGTCTCATTCTTTTCTTCTCTCAACCATAAACAATAAAACAAAGTGTTCCAAACAATAAAAACAAACATGCAAACCCTTCATTCTCTCAAGATTCAGTGCTTCTGGGAGGATAAAAGGAGAGGAGAAGGGTAAGCACATACTTCCACTCCTCGTCTCAACACTTCACTCTTGGCCTGGGTTGGTTCATTCACTATTTTTTTTTTTTTTACCAAGCACCAACAAAGTCTCCCTTGACCCTGACACCTGTTCTGGAAGGTTCTCTCTGTCACTGTAGGGCTGAGCCAATGATTCACTTGTGTCCTCCCATGGTAAATCTCTATTCCAGTACATATCACATAGGTTAGGTTTTGTTTGTGTCTGCCCCTCCCACAAATGAGAGACAAATGTTACAAGTGTTGGGATCGTTTCTCTCATCTCCATATTCCAGGCGTCTGGCTGGCATTCAGAAACTTTAAAAAAATAATAATAATAATAATCAAGGGAACAGTCAAAGCTATTCCTCTGATATGGAAAGGACTGGGTTAATCCTGGAGCTTGAAGGATGACAATTATGTTATGCAAATGACCTCAGAATCAAGGAGTATACCTCAAACTAGAGTTTAATGGGAGCTTCCCTGTGACACAAGTTTGGTAGGGGAGGGGTATCTGGAAGGATAATGAGTCAGAGGGGCCCTGAGATGATGACACCAGGGAAATCTAGCCCAAACTCAGCCGAAATCAATAGGAGACGTGGCCTCCTCTGACAGAGTCAGCCAGAATAAGATCCTAGTGCCTATGATTCAGACAAATTGAACACAATGAAGACTATTAAGCCAGGAAGGAGGTAAGAACTGTGGGGGTTCTTGAATCAAAGAGAGCTTTAGGAAGGGGAAAAGAGACAAGCACAAGTCCAGCCAGAATAATCAGAAACTCAAGGGATAGATCTACAGGGGCCAGACACCCAGGTGTTCACAACTAGAGGGGGATTGGAAGGCAAAAAGGGGACAAGGCCTGAAGTCCCACCAGGCCCTGAAGTGATGCCCACACAGAGCCACCTCAGGCCAGTCCAGTATTCAGGCCAGGCAGGCTGGGATGTGTCTACCCTTGGGTCAAGGCAAGGTACTCCATGCCTCCTGCTTCCATAGCCACTTGCACAGGCCTGTTGGCACCAACCACACTGTGTCACAAGCTGTGTGTTCATACATCTGCCATCCCTAGAAGATTGTAAGATCCTCAAGGACAGAGCCCATGTCTTAATCATCTCCTTTAATGTCTGATCATAGTAGGTATTCAAGAGGTTTAATAAATGTATTAATGGAACTTCCATAGAGCAATCTAAGAAGACATGAGCTACAGTGTTCTGAGTGAGGCAGACTCAGGACAACCTCAATTAGGCTCACTGAGAGTTCTTGAGCACTTGCAACGTCCTTCCTGTTTCCTGATGAAACAGGAAAACAAAGTCCCTTAAAACTGAAAATAGGGAAGGATGTAGATGGAAGTGGCTGCTCCATTTTTGAAGCCATCTTGGGAAAAGAGGAATCCAGGAGGGACAGAAGAGTAAGAACAGTGACAAGGAAAGCAGGCTTATCCTAGGCAATAAAAGCCCAGAAATGGAGAGAACACAGAAATCAAGGAATTGATTCCTAACAAGGTTCAGAGTAGGGAATCTAGGCAAGGCAAAGTCTGGGGGATTTATGGGAAGAGGGCCCAGCAGAGACCAGAGGTTCTGGGGATCAAGTGGAAGTTGGGGATGCTGTGTCATGTGTCCAGGGGGGGTACTTACTTAGCAACTGTGTGTCTGCCCCAGCGAGCAGCTGATAGAAGATGTGGAAGTTCCTTTCTCCTTTAAGCTGTTTCACCACTCGAGATTTCTCAAGCAGATCTATCAAAGAATCAAAAAATAATGTCTTGAGGGCCTGGGAAGAACACAGCTTTTCCCTAATTCTGCCTTCATCCCTGGTCTGCCCAGTGGTTGGGAATCCCCTAGGGGTCTGTGTTTCTCCTTCTCACAGCAGCAGATTAGCAGAAAGGGACACCACAGAGCAGGTGGAAGAGAGAGATCGTGAATGGGCAGGAGGAGACACATACAATTTGTGATGACGCCACCAAGGGGAGATCCCTTGAAGTCAAACTCAATATCCATGTATTTTCCCTTTAGAGAGAGAACAGAGAGACACTTTGTTTCCTCCTGTTTTCTCCATGTTCACTCTAGGAGAGGTTTGTGCCACATTCCACCCTCTCAAGTCCCCACACTCTCCTCCTGGGTCAGGGGAGACATTCACTCACAAATCGAGAGGAGTTGTTGTTGCGTATTGTCTTGGCATTGCCAAAAGCTGCAGAGATGAGGAAAAAAGATGTGAGGTGGGGCTGAGGAGAGGTATGGGGTTCTACAGAAGGAAGAGGAAAAAGGTTTCCCAGTCACCATGCCAATCTCAGATTTTTCATTGTGAACCAGAACAATGGTTATAGGGACGTTGCAAGAGAGGATATAGGGCTGAGCCTCTGGGGATGTGGGCAAAGACCAGAATTCTTACCCTCCAGTACTGGGTTTGACTGAAGTAGTTGCTCTTTCACAGAATTCACCTGCTCCCCTTTCCCACAGACAGCTGCCACATAAGACATCACCAGCTTACTAGCCTCTGTCCAAAAGAAACCCTCATGTGGATCCCCTCCAGAGCTGACCATTCCGCCACCACCCTCATTAATCCCCCTCATTCCAGCACCTCACACCCCTCAGAGTCAGAAAAGCTGTGAAGGAATTTCAATGAAGGACAGGACAGGAGTAGGCCTGGCTTGGAGAGACAAAAGGGGACTTTCAGAGGGGACTCCATGGTCTCTCCCAGGAGGTTCCTCACCAGTCTTGCCAGCTCCACTTTCGCCTGTGATGAGGATACACTGGTCTCGGTCCTGGTCCTTCAGTGACTGGTATGCCACATTGGCCAATGCATAACTTGAGAGGTAAAGATGGACAATGACTGAGATGGGACCAGTCCAGAAAACCATCTTTCACTCATTTCCCAGTGCCCAGGCTCATCCATCTTCCCCACTTAGACCAGACTGAGGCAAGAAATGGCAGGCCTATGAAAGGGCCGCCAGAGGGCCTGGGAAGGAAGGGGCAGCTGGAGAACCTCCCTCGAGCAAGGACAGAGGAATGATGTCTTGTAGCTCTGGTGGCATAGTGCCTAAGGCATTTGACTGCTAACCAGAAGGCTGACAGTTCAAACCCACCAGCCCCTCCTCAGAAGGAAGATTGGGCAATCTACTTCCATAGAGATAACTGCCTCAGAAACCCAAGGAGAGATTGCTATGAGTCGAATCAACTCAATGGCAGTGCATTTGGTTTGTTTTGGTTCATAGTCAGGAAGCTGGCTGGGCCTTCCAGCCTTCCCTTGGCCCCTCTACTCACATGTGGGGCTTCTGCTCATAGAAGGTATAGTCCCGGTATTTGGCAATGAACTCGGGGCCATAGATGGACAGCTGTTGGTAGGGATTCACTGAGACCACCACGTTCCCAATGTAGGTCTGCAGCCAGGGAAGAAGTTGAAATGAGTGAACCTGGTAGCTGGGAGGAAGGTTAGGGGGCTGGGTCTTGGGGAGGAGGAGCAGGTAAGCTCACTGGCCCCACATCTGCAGCCAGCAGCACCCACAACTGCACTCACGTAAATCTCTTTCTTTTCATAGCGAAGCTGGAGGTTCTTGAGCAGAGACTCCTGTGTCAGGGGTTCCAGGAGGATGAGGTCCTCCACTCCCACGGAATCTTCCAGAAAAGGCATATCCATAGGGACTACTGATCCTGGGAGTAAGGGGCTCAGTTTGCTGCTGTCTGCTCAGCTTTAGGTGCTAGTAATTGTTTGTGGGAAGAAGGGCAGAAGGACCCAAAAGATTCTTCCTCTCCCCCAAGCCCTGTCTCTAAAGAGAGTGCCCAATCTAGAAGAGGCCTGGAAATGCCTAAAATGTATGCTGAAACTCTTGGCTTGGTGACAAGGGACTCTCCTATTCCCTGCATTGGAGTCAGTGGCGATAAGGCAAAGGAAGGACAGGACCACCTGCCTGTCACCACCAGGGTAAGACAGGCACCCAGTAGGCAGCACCTGGGGAACACAGCTGGGGGGGAAACGGTAAACAAGCTTTGCGCCCCAGCCATGCACAGAAAACTCTCCCCTGTGCCCTGAGGCCCTTGACCGGGGTCCAGACTCCTGACTATTTGCCCCCAGTTCTCCTCAACAATTGTTAGAATAATAAATAAGAGCTCTCACAGCTCCTGCTTCAATCACCCAGCCTGCCCATACCCTCTCTTTCCCTCTTACTGCTACAGTGAGCTTTGTTTTTGAAGTGGGAACTGGAGGAGGAGTGAGTTAGAGGACAGATCCAGGAGCTATTCCATAGATTAGAATACCCCAGAGGAGATGAAGGTGGGGTTTGTTTCAGCAACACACAAGTAGCTGTCAGCATCTGTAATGTGCCGCCACATCTCTCCCTGTCTTTCTGTGTCTAGTTTTTACACCTTTCTGGAGCAGACTTTGCCCCAGGGACACACCCAGCTTTTTAGTAGCTGGTGGAAGAGGACAAAGAGGAGCAAAGTTGGCCCTGCAGGGAGCACTGCTCTGCCCCATGCACTAGGGACATAGCAGGTGTTCCTCTAAGGAGGAAGCCCAGCTCTCCTTGGCCTGTTGTGTGGGCTGTGGCTGACTACAGGGAAGAGTTAATACAATGGTCAGTGCCACTCCCAACAGGAATAAAGAACCACATCCTCCTACTCTCTTGTCATCTCTGAACCTGGGAGGAGGAGGAAGCAGGAATAGAAGGCAGGATAAGAAGGAGGCACAGTCTTCCATCTCCCTTCACTCTGCTTTCTCCAAGCCCCAGGAAAGGAGGGCACTTGTCACTTCCTATAAGGACAGGACTGAGAAAGCCACAATAACATGAGTAATAGCAGTCTTAAGTGCAATCATGGAGCACTTACCATGGTCCAGGGATTGTTCTCACCACTTTATACATACTTTTGGATTCATTTGATACTTACAGTACCCCCCATGAGGTAGACAGTATCATTTTCTCCCGTTTTCCAGATGAAAATAATAATAATAAGTCTTTTAAGTAACTTGGCAGGGAAGGGCGAGAAGCAGAAGGAGGATTAGGAGAAGATACCTCCTTTGGATTTGAGGGGAGTGGGGATGTGAATGGTTGTGGGTGGGGTAGAGGAGAGGAGGCAGATCTCAGAGCAGGTACCACAGATGTGGAAAGAGGAGCAATGATAGAACAAGGCAGGACTCACCCAGAACTGGACCTAGAGTGTACTTTCAGTGCTCACTTGGAGAATGGCGATGAAACCCCAGTTTGATGGAAGGGGCATAGCAATCCCAGGCCCCAAGGGTGGAGAGGTGCCTTGATTAGTAGGAGCTGTCCATGGTGTCCGGGAAGCCAGGAAAGAGGCCGACCTCCTCTTGCCAGTGTCCACTCTTCGACCTTTCTTTGTGCTGCCTCTTTCAGCCTGAGATCCCTGTGTCAGTTAAGCCAGGAGAGGCTGGAGACGGCTGCTCAGCACAAAGTCCGAGGCTGTTCCTGCTGAGGGTGTGGCTCGCTTAACCCTTTCCAGGCCTGATGCCCCAGAGGAAGCAGCTCAGTGACTTCAGATAGCCTCTGTAGGCAGGAAGGAGTGGCTGGCTGGCATTAGCTGAGGGGCTCAATTATAGGAGGGTTCTTGCTCCATTGTCCCCAAAATTTGAAAATGAGAGCAGAAAAATGGAATATATAGCCAAGTGATAACTTTTCCAAAGTCAGAGATTTTGCCAAGAAAGCTAGGGTGTCTTCCTAGCAAAGAAATGGTCCCTCCCTCAAACGTACCCTTTCTATTTCATTAGAGGTCAGGGAGTGTTAATGAGATTATATGGGGAGCAAAGTGGACAAAATCCCCAAATTCCTCTCCACTTCCCTTCCCCTATGAATCAGACCCCAACCTTCCTTCCAAGGAGTGGCTGGTAGGTTTGAACCGCCAGCCTTCTGGTTAGCAGTTAAATGCCTTAGGCACTATGCCACCTGAGCTCCCAGTTTTTAGTTTTGAGTCCCTTCCCCTATGAATCAGACCCCATCATAGAGACTCAAAGATTAAAGTCAGTAATAATACCTTGCATTTGTATAGCAGGTCAGTTTCATTGAATTTCCATCTGTATTGTCTCACTGAATCCCATCACTCCATGAGGCAGGGAGTACAGATACTCCATTAAAAAGGAAAATCAGAGGCAAACGCCGAGGTTTAGAGAGGTTATACTTGTTTGTGTGGCCCTGGTTCCACAGCCAGTAGGAGGCAGAACCAGGAACAGAATGCAAGCTTCCTAACCCAAATCTGTCATGGGGTCCAGCCCAAGTTCAGTTGTTTCTCATTTTAATCTTTCGTCAGTGTTAGAACAATAAATAAGACCTTGAGATGCCATTTCCTGGGCACCAGCCCAGCTGAAAATAGCTGTCTCTGATATATAAGAAGTTTATAAAATCCTACTTTCTAGGGTACCCCTTCTTCCAGCCAGGAAAATTCCTAAGTAGAAGGCTCCCTCTGCCCCCCAGTCTCTCTCCCAGGCATGCACAAAGAGCAAATTAGGTAATTACAGGCACTTAGCTGAAGGTAGAGCCTTGACTCTCCAACTCTCAGTCACAGCTGCTTGGTTCAAGGTTCAAACTCTACAGCTCTCATAGAAGCACTCTGCACAAACCTGTGCCATCAGCATTTCCATTATCAATCTGCCCTTGCATAATTTATTGTCCTACTATATATATTTGAAGGGGAAAAAAAGCAAGGAAAAGACAGAGAGAAAAAGCTGAGTGCGAGTGGTGTAAGAATATAATCCCACGTACAGGTGGAGCAGTATCAGTGTGCTAGAGGCAAAAGTGATCAGAGATCACCTATTTTATAGTGGAATCAGGCCCAAAGTGAGAAAGCAGTTGTGAACCTGACAGAGCTGGGACCAGAACCCATATCACCTGTTCCCTCCCCAGGCTAGGGATCTACAGCCATTTACAACTTGCGGTTTATCTGTGTGTCTATCCATTCACATACTTACTGTGTAGCTACTACATGCTCACAGGAGAGAAAAAAAAAAAAAAAAAACACTGCCATGGAGTCGGGTCTGATTCATAGCGACCCCTCCTTGGGTTTCCGAGGCGGTATCACTATGGAGGTAGATTGTCCAACCTTCCTTCCAAGGAGTGGCTGGTGGCTTTGAACCGCCAGACTTCTGGTTAGCAGGAGAGAAGTGACTCTAAAAATTAGATGGCACCCTGAGATAATCTTTACATCTTAAACCAAAAATATCCCCTGAAGTCTTAGTTTAGCTTAACTAGAAAGAAAGTCTGCCTTGAGGGTTATGCTCTTTTCAAAACTATCTGTATATGGGATCAAACTGACAACAGCAACTCACAAGACTAGATAGGACCTTAGGGAGCAGGGAGTTTGTGTTAATGGGGGAGGAACAACTCAGAAAAGGAGGGTGAAAACGATTGCACAACTTGAAGAATATAATCCCTATCACTGAATTGTACATGAAGAAACTGTCAAATGGGTGTATATTTTCTTGTGTGTACTCTCAACAGCAACAAAATAAAGAAAATGTAAAGAAAAGCAAAAAATGATGCCAACTTTGGGTTTAGAAACAGTGGTATAAACATCACAGTTAGGGTGGCCAACTGCCCTGGTTTGTCTGGGGCTAGGGTGGATAAAACTAGGAAAAGTTCTAGTAAATTTTCTTCACCCTAAGTTAACGGGAACAAAATACATATCCAAGTCAGCTGGGACTTCAGGATCTGTCAAAACGCTCCAGGGATGGGGAGGCAACACGGGAGGGGGGCCAGTAGGCACGACGGTGACCAGCTTCCCAAGCAGAACTGAAACAACTGGAGCTTCCTGGTCTTCCTCCACTCCATCTGACTCCTAAATTCCCTTGTTTCCTTCCCTCGAAATCCCGAGCCCATGTAATGGACATGAGAAAATCTGGAGGGCGATGAAAATGTTCTGTATCACGACTGTGCTGGTGTTAACACAACTGTATCCATTTGCTAAAACTCAGCAAAAATGTACACTTAATTTTTGTGAATTTTTTTATGTATAAATTTTACTTTGTAAAGCTGATCAGAAAATAAATACATAGACCATTCCAAATCCTTCAGTCTTGCTTTCTGACAGGGGTTTGCTATAGTCAGCTGTTGCGGAGTCAGCCCCCGACTCATGGTGACCCCACGCACAACAGAACAAAATGCAGGCCGGTCGTACACCACCCCATCATTGGGTGCAGATCACACCCATCCATAGCGTTTTCGCTGGCTGATTTTTGGAAGTAGATTGCCCTGCCTTTATTCCTAGTCCATTTGAATCTAGACATGCTGATGAAACCTGTCAGCATCGCAGCAACACGCTCTGACAGACCCCCTCCACTGGCGGATTGGGTACGTGGTTGCCCAAGAGGTGCCCTGGTTGGGAACAGAAGCCGGATTGGGGGGGGGGGGCAGTAATCTGATTAAACTAATTCACACTTGTCACCCTGGGAGGCCAGGAACATTCACTTTTAAAAAAACATTACATAATAAAAATAGAGTTTTCAGATATGATGTGGGAGACATTGGATGGTAAAGGATCTCCTTGGCTTTCATAAATTATCTGCATGTCAATTAACATTTATCGGGTGCTGACTATGAATCATGCTAAGGGCTAAGTGCCCTACATCCTTGCTATTCAAAGTGAGGTCAACACACCAGCACATTCAAATCACCGAGGAGCTTATTAAAA